AAGCCGACGACCCGTTGGGCTGTTCGAGGTCGGAGCAGCGGAGAGGAGCCGGAGGATGTCCTGCGATTCCTCCGGTGCCAAACGGTTCACCCCATGATGGTTTTGATCCCACACCGGGGAGAGGAGCAGAAGGCAGCATGGCAAGGCCTAAGAGAACGACGATCAGTTTGTAGAGTTGGTGGTGAACCAGAGCCGATCAGTTTTGCCTTCTTGAGTGTCATCAACCCGTCGGGATTGGAGAGTACACTGACACCTTCTGTTCCAGCTACATGTGGGTATGGCTGTATGAGCAGGAAAGGCCACCCAAAACCACTGCAAGTCTTAGTTGCAGGTGGATTGAGCACCAGAGTTGGTGTGGAATCCGTTTCTGCATTCGGGGCCCTACGTAGATGGACCAACTCATCAAACCCCTGAGCCACTAACTCTCACAAACCCCTTACCCCCAAAGTTCAATGTTGAATGCAGTTTCCTGCAGTTTAGGTCATCAGGCTTTGATTTGTTTCGTCCATTCGCCTCGTCCATTCGCCCAAACACTCTGGAAGGCTCGCTAGCATTAAGTTTTCGGGTGGCAGAAGTCAAGGTGGCTTGAAGGCTTAAATAGACTCAAGTACGAGGATTTGTACAACACACCAATTGCATGGGAAGGGCAAAAGAGGGTGTTCCCTCTTTGAGAAACCAATGCGTGCATCATGTGCCATCCCCCTTGAACATGTTTTCTAAGGTGCACCTGTGCACCTTTTTCGCCACCACAGCACGGCCAAAGAGAGTCCCAAAAGAACTGAATCCAGAGACGAAGCGTCCGCTGCCACCACCAAAATGATGTTACTGATGGCATTCAGCACCAACACCAAGAGTGTCACCCCTGGCCAGCACGGACGCCCAGCAGCACGGACGGCTGGTTGTGAGCGAGAAAACCTTGCAACCACCCGGCTCGACAAATGATGGTTCTTCCACACCCACCCCGGGTGTGTCTGTGCCATCTATTTTAGAGAGTCGAAGCCAATATATTCAATATGATCTCCGCTTCTAGTGACCGCGCAGCACTGGGCCTAGGGAGGCAGCCATCGAGGCACCGGCCGCGGCCCAGGGAAGGCTCAGGGCTCCGGAGCCTAAGCCTCAAACGAGTCTGGCGAGACCAAAAGCGCCACGCAACGGTCGTGGCGGTGCATGGCGATGAATGTCCGAGTCCAGAACAAGTGAGGCAAAGCCCAAAAAGTCGGGAAAAAGCTTTCAAGTGTGCCTGGACTGTCGAAGCCTCATGTCGGCCCATCATTCGGCGGCCCCCTCAGTGTAGCCGGGAAGCCCCACACTTGGTCGGTCTTGTGCTTATGTCCCAAACCCCGCCCTCGTGGCGGGTCATCCCACGCACCTCATCGCCGTCCGGTCCATCCCAGCGGCTCGCATTCACGAGATTCATGGTCAACGCCTCGGCGCTTCGGTGGTCGAGCGATGCCCTGAACGCGCCACCAGGTGTCCCGCTGCCGAAGCGAGCCATCCGATGCGGATGCCCCTGGGCATGTTGGGGGGGAAAGCATCCTTCCTTCCTTCCTTCCTCCAAGAGAAACGTGCTGTTCAAGAGGAAATCCTTACCTTTGGCCACCGGATCAAGAGACATGTGCACCCAAGAAGTTCCAATATGGCAAATCAAGATCAACTTTACATACAAAGATATGGTGGGTATATGATTTTGGGAAAACATCCGCTTGCTTTTTTCTTGCTTTGGGCTTGGGGGGGAAGCTAGATTAGCATCACATGCTCAAACTCACAAATTTCTACAAGGCACGATTGCAGAGACGCTCCCGACGTCTTTGGTCAGCAAGGGCTCTTCGAGCCCCGCATCTCCTGACCGCGGAGTGACGAAGCTCATCTGACTGGTGAAAGACAGGAGCAAAGGACGCTACTAGGGGCAAAGGGCCATCGCTACGAACGGAGCAAAGGACGCTACGAACGGGGCTCCTGGCCTTACTACGAACGGAACCTTCGGACCCACGAAGCTCTCAGACAGGGAGTTGGGATGACTTGGGGTCAGATCGATCGATCGTCCTGGCTTGCACAGAACAAAGGGCTCGATCGATCGTTCCTCCGTCCTCACGGCCCTTTCAAGCGATGGTCCAAGTGGTTTTGCGTCTTCGCCCTTTGGAGAGCACTCGGGGTGTGCTCGGCTTCAGATCCCAGTCCCGGTCCACGACCAAAGCGCTTCTCGATGCGACAGAGACCGAAGCCACCGACACTCGATGCGACATGGTCTGCACACGAAGTGTGCCACCCTTTTGGGGTGAGTTGGTTTGGGCAATCCCGTTTTCATCCAACTCGAAGTCATGCAGCGGATCAACTTCTTCACGCGTGCCGCGTAACAGACATCTTGGACAAACTCGCCTGCTCTCCTCGGCTTACTTGACCTCGTGTTTGGTGGCCGATCACATGGCAAAATGAAACCACCTTCCTTTGTGAGCTCCTAGTAACGTCCTTGCTCCTAGTAGTAAGGGCAGGAGCCCCGTTCGTAGCGTCCTTGCTCCGTTCGTCGCGATGCCCTTTGTTCCGTTCGTACTGTTTTCTGACCATTCAGAACTCTCCTGGTCTCCCCCATCTCTCACTTGTTCCCACTCTTCTCTTCTCGTCTCTACTTACGCGTCTCTTCCTCGTGAAAACACCAGAGATCGACCGACCGGCCACTTGAGATCGACCGACCGGCACGGTCTGCCGTTGGACGGTATTGGTTCCATCAAAGCGTTTCCCCCGGAGAACAAGAAGGGTAAAACGCCAAGTCGGATTCGTGTAGGCTCTTGATGACCAGGAACCGCCCAACCGGCATGGATGGTAAAGCCTCTTCATGCGTCTGAGTACGGTTCAAATAGATCGTCAAAAGTCTGAAGTTACGGTTCACCTTTCTTGTTGGGGATGTGGCTCAAAAGCTAAACACTAAAAGGTACCATGATTACAACCTCAATGGCCTTTTTGTTCCTCTAACCACTGGGGTTGTAGGGTGCCTGATGTTCAGCCACATGCCCAGCTGTGTTCCTGTCCTGATCGCGACAGAGGTGATGCTTCCTGGCAGGAACAGAAGCTTCGGATGTGTCAATTTTTGGGGGGTCACATCCAGAAATCAGTGCACAGAGTAATACCAAATTGATGGTCTGTAAGTTTATAACTCCAAATCTGGTGGCTACTTGCCAAGACTTAGCGGTCTGCTGTTTGCAAATAAATATAGGATGATATGGGTCATATAGGTGTGTAATTGCAATTGATTTCACGGCCTCTTTCTGAGGTTGTACTCTTTGAACAGGTGTATCCACCTCCATGTCCAAGTTTCATCTCCCCTCGTCCGATTTCGGGGTGGAATTGGACCAATTGACCTCATCACGCTTCCATTGACCTCATGCTTTCACGCTTCCCGTCGCTTCCATTACCGGCGTTTCGGCCCCTCGACTCTTGGTCTCCTCGGTGAGAACCATCACGAAACCCCCCTCGGTACCTGGAGAAATCGGGAGGGCTGGAGAGAGTCAGCGAGTCGGTGGTCTTTTTGCGCGATTCGACGTGTAACACATCTTCACGCGAATCGCGATGGGCGTCTCTTAATTCAGGGCGAAGGCATGGAAGATCGAGACGATGGAAGGGAAGGCGGAGAAGGCTCGAACTAGACGCCCCCGAAGAAGGAACTCGAACGAACGATCCAGCGAAGTCCGACGGGAAGATGGTTGGTCTCCAAATGGGCGGGGGCGAAGTCCTGCGGCGAGACATGATGGAATTGCGTTGGTTTGCGTTGTCTGTGTCTTCCAGGGGCGACCGGCTTTTGGGGAGGTCTCCCTATATCAATAAGTTTCTGTATGTTCTATTTACATAGTATATTCTTTTCTCTCTTGGTGTTTATATAGAATGTCCCAGCTAGGTATTCAATCAATGCGTATGTATTATCAACCCATTCTGTTTTAATTTAATACACACCCATTCTGGCCCATTCTGCATATCGGACACGCCCTTTCAGCCACCGGGCCGCCGCGGCACCGTGGATTGAAGACGACCCAAGGGACCCGGCGGGCCCCCACAGGCTTTAGGGCACCGCGTGTCCCGGAGAATGCAGCTTTCAAGTTTGAACTCTTCATTGGGAATATGATGGAATATGAATATGGATCAATCTGGTCTGGCCATGTCTGGCCTCATTTGAATCTGGTATGGACCGTATGGATGAATTTTCGAGTCTGGTTCGTGTGGCCATGGATGATCGAAACACCGGCCCCCAGGACACGTGATTCCGGCGCCATCGAAGCGGATGGCGCAGGTATCGCTTTTGGTCAACGCACGAGAGAAGTCGAGTCAAGAAAGCAAGTTAAACTGGGCACCTGGCTGACTCCTAAACACACCTGCCATGTTTGAAGGAGTGTAAACACTACAGCAGTAATTAATTCAAAACAATACAAATCAGAGAAAGTGGGAACCTTCTCGTCAGGCTTTACAGCAGTTTGTTTGGATGCGAAAAGGAAGTGTCACATGGTCTGTGGATATTCCATGGATTTCAACTGCCCCAAGTCAAGTATACTGCGGCTTCTTCCCAGTGCTTTTTCACATCTTTTCATAACGACTGCAAGGACATCTCCATGTGTCACCCCCAAACCCCGGGAGAAACGAGGTGTTTTATCTTGCATGGGGAGTGCCAGAAGAGGCCATCAACATCACTCTGTTCATTTCTGGACCTGGAAGAAGCTTGAGCCGAACGGAAGGACATATCACTGCACGAGCGGAAGTTTGTGCACAGGACGAAGCACACAGCTCGATGTCACAAGTCTCAACAAGGACTTGGCTTCCTGAAATGAGCCTCACGACAGGTCCAATCCCAGTCGTTTCAGTATCTAGAAGATTTACCACACTTTTCTCAACCTTTCTTGCCCTATGCAGGACATATTGCTTGCGCCCTGCTGCAAAACTAACCCGCCTGGCCTTCACCCTAGGTAATCCCAAGAAGGGTGCAAAGCCAGACCCGCCCGCTCCCACTGAGGCCGCCAAACACGGCTCTTCTCGTGGTCATAGACCGTGTAATACTTCCTCAACAAACGAATCAGTGCCATTCAGTGCCATTCGTAACAGGGTTTCCCCCTGGAACCACACGAGACAACAACCCGGATGTTCACCCACCTGAGGGAAAGCATCAATGCGTTTCTAGCTCAAGGGAGCTCTTGAGCTGATTCCGTGGAAAATGGCGCAGCGGCATGAACCTGTTTTCAAGCCAGGGACACGTCTTCGAGCGATATCTACACGTCCCAAGCAAAGGCCAAGCAAGCATAGACAGTATAGCCTCCCAGCCCGGCGAAATGGGCGCAGCCCAGCCAAGCATCTGCAAGAACGGAATGCCAAACACGAAGAGCGGCCCCTGCGTGTTCGACATGGAACGCTCGCTTCGGTCGTGGCGGGAAGTCCTGGCGGGGGGTCCCAACCGCTGCTTCCCCTAGAGGCGTCTGAGGCGTCTCTCGCGGGTCGCGTACAGCAAGATGATGTTCACCGATAAAAAGATCTTGCAAACTACAGTCCAGTCACAAGAGGGTGGTTTTTGGTCCCCAAGTAAGTGGATCATGGGCACCCTGACTTCTAAGTTCGGCACCCCAGATCCTGACTGCTGGCTTCATTGATCTACATTGCTCACTCTCCCTTTCAACTTTCACAGCATAGTGGTCTGTCTTTAGCACTTCCTGCAGGTGCCAACTTGCGCTCCACCGGCAAGGTATACCACGGGTGCCGACGGCTGACTCTCTACTTAAGATCTGTGAAAATGAGTTCTCACGTTCGCTTCAAACACTGGGAGCTATCGTTTCAACATGTTTCTGGCCGGTCGACATCCCAATCACATCCCAAAAAACGGCAAACGATGCCCAAACACACGTGACATGCCCAACCGGTGCATCCAAGGATGCCCCACACCGGTGCCATTCGGCCTTTGGGGGCGGCACGTCGAGGTTCATGAGCGACAGGTTGCAGGTGCCCATGCCGATCTCGGTGGAGGGCACGGTCGAAAGCTGGGAGAACACGGTCGGAGGGCGAGGCCTGGCCTGGGGGGGGGGGGCGAGAGGAAGAGTAGATTTAAGAAAAGTATATAGATGGTGTGACATGACCCAGGAATTTCTGCGATTCGAAAACTCTGAGATTTGGATTCGGTGCAGGAGTCAGGTGCTTCTGAGCAGCTCAGAACAAGACTCAAGACCTCATCCGACCCCCCAAGCTGGCAGCGCTTCGCTGCCTTCACAAGCCCCAGTCAGCCCCAGTGACTCATTCGGTCACCCGCTGTCACCCAGGTCTTTGGTCCGCCCAGCAAAATGCAGAGGCGCGACCCATTGGTCTCGCTTCGTCCTGCCCAAGCCTCGCCCTGCCGCCCTGCAACACTGCCACCCTGCGCAGGCCGCGCCTCAGAGGTGTATTCCCGAGGCGACAAGCTCAAGATCTTGGGGTTGCCATCTGGTCCACCTGGGCGATCGAGGGTCCACCCGCAGGTCGACGCCAAGTCAGGTCGATCGTCAGGGTCGATTCAGGTCGAGTCCAGACAGGTCGATCGTCAGGTCAAGACAGGTGGAGATCACTGCAGACTGCTTGGATGAAACAGATCTGCGCCCCAAACAGGTCGCCACAAAAAGGATCTCTTATACATGACGTTTTCGAAAAAGGCGACGCCTCATCCCAGCTCCAGACTCCAGCTCCGAAGGCGGCCAGTCGAAGGGTCCCAAAAGGTGACGGCTCGCCACGGCGGAGCGGTTCACCCCTTCGCCACAGCAAACCCAACCAGCAGTCGCATGTGGTGCTATCCATGGAGGTAGTCGGGGTGCCCGAACGTCACATCCACTCACGTAGTAAGGGGACGTTTCACACCACCCCGATCTTGCGACTTCTGGAAAGAGTTCATTTTGGGGGTCCGCCACACCGGAACTCCAGTCGATCTTGAAGACTTCGATTGGTGAGCAAGGCACCCCTACTTCAATGAGTGACCTCATCTATTTCCTTGGCTTTGGTAGCTGGGAATCCTATACAGATTCCCACCATGGCCCCCCCAAGCCCCGTCGTCTCAACTGGCCCAAGCCACGAACCGCGAAACCCAACTTTGGAAGCGAGTCCTGCGCAGAAAGAGAAAGCGGCACGGATGCCGCGCCAGCCGTGCATATAGGCCAAAGCGATACGAATCGACGAAGAAATGTGCTGTTGAAAGGAAGAAAATCAGAACCCCCCCCAAAGATCGACGAAAATTCAAACTGGTGTCCTACACCATGTTTAGGGAAGTTGGAACATGAGTTATCGTCCATCTTTTCTGGGATGCGAGTCAGACTGCCGTGCCTTCTCAAGCAGGTCGACCGAGGCGCGTCGGTGTTTGTCCCGCGGCTGGTCCGTGAGGGGAAGGGATGCGCGACGGGCGCCACTGGCCGTGGTCTCGCGGCCGGTGGCACAAGGTCGCGTGTCGGAGTTCTGCAAGTCAGACTTCAGGCTGGGGTTTGCTGGGGTGAAGCTCGGCAGAAGTGGAGAACATCTTCCATGAAGCAGCATGTGGCTGATTCATCCCGCCCAGACATTTCTGGGGATGGTGCAAGTCTGGCCACCCTCTTTTTTCAACTGCCTCACACAGAAAAACCAATGCCAAATCACTCCCAGATCCCTCCCAGATCTGCTTTCGCACGATCGGATGGCTCTTCCCCCATGTTCGACCCCCCATGCGCCACCACCCGCTGTCCACCCGCCCGCGGTCCACGTTGGAGCAATCCCCCAGACTCAAAAGCCTTGGCCCGGTGTCTCGGACCGAGCCACTCGAAGTGGTGAACTTCACGGTCTGTCTCCCATGTTTAGGTCTCCACTCCACCCCTGAAACCATCGCAACCAAACCCCCCTCGGACAACCCAGAACCCGGGTCGCAACCGGCTGATGTCCTTCCGTCCGCCTCAAGGAACACCTTCCTTTGCGGAGGACCTCTCCTGATCATCATGGATCGATCCCCTGTTCGTAAAGGAAAGGATCCACATCCCAAAAAAGGCCCCGGCGTTCAGGGACCGAGGTGTAATTGATGTTTCTCCTCTCCCCAAGCACCAACCTGGCTTACCATCGTTCCTTCGGGGAATCAACAAGAAAAAACATACCATCCATGGGGGTGGTTAATGGACACCCCTTAGCTACAAATAGACACCCCTTGGAGGGTCCTGGTTGTTTACTTCTCGTTTTCCCATGGCTCAAAACCCCCCCTCCGAGCGCCCCCGGCTCTTCCAGCTTTCCAACCACGCTCGAGGGGCCTGTCACCAGGTCGGTGGGGCCATTTAAAGCAAAGTTCGACCCTTTTGGCGGGTCTGCATTTTCTGATTAATAGGGAGCTTCTCCCCCAAATAAATCATGGGATGTTCATGAAAGTGTTGGTTTCTCGGGTTTGGGAGGCATCCTAGTTCAACTCACCCTTATGTAGAAAAGGCCAAATTCAGGGAGAACCACAGTGAAATCTTCTTGCATTTGCATGTCGGGAAACCGAATAGTAAGCAAAGGATGAAATGGGGGTGTTTCTTGTGAGGTCCCCAAGGATACGAAAAGAAACGAACAGCACCGCACCATGCCGCAGGTCGGTCTCGGTCTCCCCAGACCCCGGAGCAAGCGAACGGCGAAGCTGTGGACGTCAAGAACCACTCTGACAAGCTGCCAAAACCAACCAAAAGCCCAGCGTGTTTTCTCCTCAGACCAAGCGGGTGTTCGTCCCTCTAAGGACGGTCAATGGCGGCCCAGGGGGGTTCGGAGCCATGCTCGCAGAATCCACCGGTCCAACAAGAACGGCGAACGTACAAGACCAGTCGGTCAGCGATGGTTTCTGTATCAGCTCAGATCGTTTTGAATGCTTTAGATCGTTTTGAAGACCGATCTCATCCACTCTGCCCCTCACACATTTGGATCTCCCCGGTCGCGATCCCACCTGCCAGTTCAGAGGTGCCGGTGTCAACTGCCACGCGGCAGCCCTTGCACAGGTTCCTGGACGAGGTCGGTGGGCACTGTTACTGGTGGACTAACAAGACAGACCAGAGCCCCCGGTGCTGTCGGGGTGCTTCAGGAAGTGGAACATTGGCACCACCAATTGTCCTCTACAAGCGGGGTCTGCCCAGCCTCCATGATTGTTTGAGGGAGGGTACCCCTTAACCTCTAAGAAGCTTTAATTAGACAACCCAAGCCGGAAGCCCTGGAAGTTGTCCCTTCATGTCAGCTACAAGTCTGGGAGTTGTCCCTGAGTGGGAAATCCTGTGCATTTCTCGGGTCTAAGAGGAATCATAGGTTCATGCCAACCCCCCAAAAAAAATCGGAAGTTCGTTTCTGCAGTACCCTAGCGATACCGGGACCAGCTTTGGCAAACTGTTCTTCCTCCTCGCCACCCTTCGCCGCGGTATTTGCCCAGTCGCTGAGGTTTCTTATCGAAATAGATGTCCTCAATCTCCACCTCTTTTCCACATGCCACAGCAGCTGCGGGTTTTGCACAGCTAGATGAACCGGGATTCTCAAATCTGGCTGAACGTTCTTGGGCAATTTAAGGATGTCCATGGCCTTCCTTACCTTTTGTGGCTCTCAGATTCTCGTGGGACTTCTATCAATTGCTGACGTGGGATCGCATGTCAAACAGGATGCTTGAAGTTCACGAGGTTGGAACAAGAACATGAGCATCGCTTGGCAGCTGTCAAACTTCTGACTCACAACACCTGCAACTGCATCAGGGAACGTGACAGCAATGCAAAATAAGTCTTTATCGCCAAGATGCTGTCTTGTCTATTCTCGTATTCAACCCGAACATATTCCAAGATGTACAAGAATAACCAACGTTAGTCTACACAAGTTCAACCGGAATTGTGAAATGTTGCCCCTGGCGGGGGACGCGGGGCAACATGGGAAGACCCATTTTTTGGCGGGGCCGGGCCAGTCACTTGAAGCAGACCCCTTGGTTTTTGCTTGTTTGGAACCTGCTTGGGAACTGAACGGACTTAGCAACAGACATGTTCATCCTACAGCTTAGCCATCTTCTTTGCAAGACAAAGAATCCAGAGAGGCATCCCCTTCTACTTCCAATCTTCCCTCTGCTTCCATGTGAAGACAGATGCGCTGCGCTGGAACCCCTGTTCCTTTCGGCTCGGCCTTCCCTTCCCTGTTCCGGCCTCCCAGTATCCAGCGTTCCCGGACACCGGAACCCAGTAGAGCTCAGAGGCCATGTGTTCCTGCCGTTCCCGTTCCGCCCGTTCCGCGGTCCAGGACCTAAAAGGGACAAAGGCGAAAACCGGACTAAGCTGCTTGGACCGATCCTTCTCTGAGTTGCTGTCCATTTGTGGAGGTCGACTTCCGAGCAGAAACTGGGTTAGTGCGTTTGTTGGTGTTTGATGTAGAATAGAGTGGTATAGTATAGTGAGCCAATTGGCATCAACAAGTGACAATCAGAGAATTTGCATGCTGAATAATCAATAATGATCAATTATCAATCAGTAATTCATTTCCGGACTATATAAGAGTCTGCATCCAGAAGCCTGTTACCTCATGACAACCTTGTCAACAATAACACATCCAATATTGTTCTATGAAGGCAATTCCAGGGGTGATGAGTCTAGTATAATCATGAATCCCGAAAGAAAGAGAGCACAAGAAGGTGATCGAACGCGTTCCTATCCAATTGATAAACAGCAGCAGCTATATGTTGCAGTGATTATGCATATGTACACAACTAAGCTGCCGATGAAACCTCCTTCGCAAAGTGCCTTGGATTCGGGCTCCGGGCCTCCACTTGCTAAAGAACCTTTAAAGAGATTGACCAAAGTTCACCGCCTTGGTAGATCGACCAGTCTCAAAATCCACTGACCCCTCTCCTTCCCACAGCCACCGAAGCGTCTTCGCGTCTTCGCGTCCGAGGGAGAAAAAAAAAGGAAAGGAAGAGCGGCGGGGACGCCGGCCCCACCCCGCCAAAAGAAGAACGCAAGAACGCCCTCGTCGTTTGAGGTGAAAAAAGGAGAACGCTCAAGACCGAAGGGAGGTCTCTTCGGCTCCCCCAAAGTGACCGCCGAAAAAAGACATCGAACAAGCGTAGCGTCAACAAAACGCCCAAGCCGAGCTCCTGCTTCATGTCGCCAAAGGTGATCTCGGACTTCTCCTGCTCCGAGTCGGAGAGGAAGACCGAGAAGATGGGCTTCCTGGCCGAGTCCAGAGATGTGAAGGACCTGGCAGGTCTTGGGTCCCAAAGGTCCTCCCTGTTTGGAGGCCTTGATTTAGCCTTATATATAGCCAATACCTTAGTTACGTTTGAAAAAGGCCCTGATTGAGCCTTATTTGAGACCCCAAAGTAAACCTCCAAATTCCTGTTGGTGGCGAAAGTACCGCCTTTCCTGCTTCACAGCTCGGGCTGACCGGGCTTCTGTTTTCCCCGCCTCTGCGCCGCGTGGACCCGACGGGTGACGCCCGCCTCAAGACTCCCGACTGCTGCAGCAAGTTCATCACCGAGAACTCGTTGGACTGCGGAGAGGTCGGGGCAGGCTCCGAGGGGAGGCTTCTCACGACACGAGGTGACGGGCGACGGTCCGTGGTCCGTGTGTTGGGTCGTTGGTTGATCCTCGGATGGGTGAATGTCAACAGACGATTCAACATGAGCCGCGACTCATGTTGAAGTCGGGTTTGATCCAAAAGAACTCTTTGGAAAGAGGAAACAGAACTCTATTTATATATATATATATACCTGGACCCTCCAAAGTACCTTAGAAAATGGGACATGACCCCTTAAAGACAGGTACTTGTACCCATTTTCCGAGGTACTTTGAGACTCCAGGTATATATAATTCGCCATGCCCACATGCCTGGTGTTCGACCCAACACTCGCCACTTCCTGCAAGATCACTCAGGACACTCGTGACACTCTCCCCACCGTCGCCTGAGCCATGCTATCCAGGGCGAGCCCCAAGACGCCATCAAAAGAAAAGCTCGCGAAGGGAGTATAGCTCTCTTCCTGGGCTGGGAAAGAGCTGGCTCCAGCTAGAGTCAGGAACCAATTGGAGTCGTCAATCCAACCAAAACCAATGGTTCCTCAGGCTGGGAGAGAGCCAGCGAGCCTAAGGAAGCGAATCGCTTGGTGAAAAGAACCGCCTTGAAACCGCCTGGAGCACATCCTCCGCATGGGTCTCCCTTTTGCGGTGGTGCAGCAGATGAAAGCTGCCGGGTCACCACGTCTGCAGCGCAATTGGACTTTCCACTCGCCATGGGGGTGTTCAAACAGGTGCCAGAAAACGGGAACATCATGAAACGTCACCCCAAAAAGGGCCTGCCGGCCTGAGAAATAGGGTAGACACTCTATCTAAAAAGAAAAGAAGAAGTGGAAGTGGTGGAAGTGGATGGCATGGCCTGTCGTTCGAGCATGTTCCTCTACAAACAGGAAGTGAACTCCACTTCCATCATGCTGTTGATGCTTTTGGAGAGGGTTTGGAAAAGTACACCTCCACAAGATATCATTCGTCGATTCCAATGCACCAAGCACGTCAAGACGTCCTCAACCCAGCACGTCGTCCCCGGGTCGCTGTTGCTGCGGGTCGGCGGGTCGGACGTCACGTCTGGTCCGAGGACCGTCTGCGTGGAGGAGAAGCCAGAGATCAAGGTCTCCCTATCAATCCAAAATACCGAGCTTGGTGTGTAGTTTCGATCCTATCCACCTTGGTGTGTAGTTTTGATCCTGTCCACCTTGGGGGATCCGTTCCATTCACCGGTCATTGCGGATCTTGCTGGGTCCAATGGTCATTGCGGAACCCACTGCGTGCGATTTGTTTTGTTCTCGTCGCTTGCAGTCTGGTGCAGCCGGTGCCTGCGAAGTCTGGCCTGGCTTGTTCTGATTTCGTCTTGATGCTTCTACATCTGTTCAACCATTCTGGGCCGTTTTGGGGTCCTATAAAGAATCCAGATCACCCAGCAACATGCACCCTTCGTTTCTTCACGCCAAAAAGGGGCCGTCGCTTTCCACGACGGTCGGCGAACTCTCTGAGCCGCCCCCACCGTGGAGGAAATGAAGTTGCCCTTCGAGCAGGCGGAACCAATCTGGGCGGAGCGCATGCCGCAGAGGAACACACCGGAACGTCGACCGCACTGCCACCACACAACCTCCGGCTGAGTTCTTGATGGACGGAACGTTTCACAAGTGAAAGACAAGCTGCAAGAGATTTTCTACGAATTGGTCGTGCCCAAAAAAAAGATGTTGCTGCTGCTTCCAAAAAAATGTGTTTCTACGTTAATAAGTAATGAGTGATTGTACCAGCACAAACCCCGAACAGTTTCAGCGTCAGTTCCTTGAATTCCAATGTCGGTGGAAACGTCTGCAATCATATTCCTACAGCCTCCAGCTGTTTGAGAGCAGAATGTAAACAAAACACCACTTTTTGCGGAATGCGATCATATTCAAAAGGGACACGCTGCATCACCTGTTGCATTCATAGCCACAAAAACAAGCCCGGACCAGGCGGTAGAGACAGGGAAACTTCGGGTGACGGGGCAGGACACAGCCACAGCGACGACGGTGGCGGGTCAGAAGGGCCGTCAACCTATCAGGGTTTGGACATGCCAGGTGCCATGACCCAGAGCCATGTGTGATGTGGTTTTCATCTCGGCTACTCGCATCAGCTCCAGACTTCTCAACAAAAGACAGCTCCATTTTGTGTTTGAAGTTTGAACCCTATATGTACCCAAAGAAGGTAGTCAATGGTCTTTGTGTACTTTGCCATTCGGGCCGTACATTTGGCCACACGCTATGACAACACCGATCCGGTGCTTCCTGGTCTGAACCGGCCCACTGTGCATTTGGCAATGACCATGCCACGTCATATATTATATATTTGCATATTAATATGCTGCAGCCACAATACATTAATTGTGATTCAAGCATCTTTTGGCTCTGGAAATGCTGCAAGTCACTGTCTTGCTGCTTGGTGCTTTCTGGCCAGACCGGCGTTGCGCCAGCACGCCACGTGGACCCGAACCGCCGAGCCGAGCGCGGAGCTTTCCGGGCGCCGGGCACAAATGTCGTCTTGAAAGCACTGACCAGTGATTTTGCCAGTGCCAAAGGTAATGGTAATCTCGTCCTGTGACTCGAACTTGAGAGAATGAGGGGGTCCTATATACGGTATAGGAGTGGAGGGATGCGGAAAAGTCCGTGTTGTTTGGCTTGACGCGAGCCGAATCACACAGAAATTCACCGTACCCAACATTACATTACATCATTACATGGCAGCAAGATATAGCAAGATCATATTTGGCTGACTTCGGGAAAACCAGGACGGCGGTGTGAATCTCGGGGGTGAATCCGTTTGGTGGATAGAAGCATGCTGGTTCATCTAAAACCCCGCGATGTGCATGATAGCCAATTATCATCCGCTTATAGATCTCTCATGCATCGAGAAACTGCTCTCAGTTCGCCCATGCTTGGGATGTCATTGATGGCCCTTGTCTCAATGCTCTGTGGCACCGCTTCAGTAGGACCTGCAAAAGACTGTGAGTCAAATTCGGCTTTCTTTTGCAGACAAGCTATCACTCTTTGCCAAGAGGCCAACTATCAACGAGTGCCACTTCACTTGCACAACACAAATCTGCGCTGATGACTCCATGCATGACTCGACCGAGTAGTAAACACACACGACGCTGGAATTGCCACGCGTGTGTGTGGTGTGTCAAACTCTCCAAGGCGACCAGGCGAGAACGGAGAGTCTCTCCTGCTCCAAGCCGTAACCTACTTTGCTGCCATCGCAGTTCACGCTCTGAATCTGCCAGGACCGAGCTCGTGGGACCGGCGCAGAAGGCGACGTGACGCGATGCGACGCCCCGTCCGATGGGCCAAAAGACGGGGGATGACGCAGGCCCTACACATGCTCTTGGACAAGGGCAGCATGTCCTTCAACCCGGAACCCCAAAAATCTTCACCGTAGAGCAGACGCAGGCCTTGTGGGCCTTAGTGCTTACGGAGCTTTGCTGTATTTGAAGGCTAGATTGATTTGGCCAGCCACTTGCTGGTGCCAAGGTTTGGTTAACCAAACGAAAGACTTGTTTGGACGTTTTCTCCGTGCAAGGACCGGTTGGACATGAGATGTTCTGGCAAGCACATACACCGTAAGAAAAGACGTACACTCCGTCGCGTTCTGCGAAGAACTTCTGCTCAGAAAAGCTTGGGAAAAACAACAACACACCTAGAACCTGAATGACCTCTATTTTGGATCACCAACCACCCAAAATAAGGTCTTTTCCTTTCAAAGCGGAGGTCAAATGGGCTCTAGGCACTTATTATATAGATCATTTGATTGATCGAATGGTCCAAAAACAACCTCACCTCACCTCACTGGTCTTCATTTTTGAGACGAACCGGTCGAACAAGTCACCCGATGTCACCGCCTGCTTGCTCTTCCTGCACGTGCACGTGTCATGTCGTCGCACGTGTGGCAAGTTCGCACAGCTGCGTTGCAAACGGGGGAGACACCACGGAAATCCCACCAGACCCATCCAGTCCTTCTGAGAAATTAAGAAAGGGACAAAAACCCACCAGACTGGAAGGCGCCGTACTGGGTCGGCACCTGAAAAGGTCCACTTAACTGATCCTTTCCCTTCTGGCACTTGGGTCCGCACCGGGTCCGCACCCTGAAACAGGGAGCATTTGGGGATGGTCTAGCTGATCCCAGCTCCCCCCCGTTCTCTCGAAAAAAAACTCGGAGCAGCTTCCCCAGCCATGCTTCAGACCAAGTGGACTCGGGGGGGGCGGGGGGTTTGATCCCATCCACGCCACCATGAGGACTCCAGGGAGTGTAGATGAGTGACTGGAAGGGTGTTTGACCCACAGATTCGTTGTTTCCCTCGAGTTTGCACCCGTGGTTCTCTGGGTGTTCTACCCGCGTCCGGCATCTTCGGATGGTGTGACGAGGATTTCCAGAATGTCACATCCCAGGACCTTCCGGGTGCCCTGGCTGGTTTCGCCCCAGCCCACCAAGGGACCTCCAGACAGGACCACCCCTTTTTCAGGTCCAGGTCCAAGCTTTGTTTGATCCATCGCAGGCCAAACATTTGGTGAAGGAACTCAGCTTTATCTGAACCAAGAGAGGTTAAGTGACCTGAACTAGGACCCTACTGCGGTACCTATGGGATAGTCTATAGGGTCCTTCAACCTCTGGAAGTTCGAGAACCGCGAGGAGCGAAGTCGCTCCCGGAACGAGGCGCGCCCTGTCCAGGGCGGGTGGCCGTTCCGATTGACCAAGCGGCCGTCCGATGCACAGGGCATCTCAGAAACCAGAAATGTGCACCTACAAAAAGAGAAAGAACTACAGAAGTACTCAAGGCCTTAATGATTGTCTGGCTTTGGAGAATACCAGAAAACCTCTAGCCTGCTTGTTGTGCTTATTGTTGCAGTATTAGGTTGGCTCAATTCCAACAATGGCACCCAGGTCAAATCTTGAATTGGAAAGTCACTCTTGAACGTAGCATGGTTCCCTCAACCACACTCACTTGATATCCATGTCCAACTACATGGTTCAAAAACCCTGACGCCAATCCGTACCACCCAAAAATGAGCGTTGAACCTGCATGGTTGCACCTTTCCAACCAAATGTGCCATGACCAAAAAAATGGTAAAAAAGATTCCACCAAACACGTCTTTCAACACGTCGCTTTTCGAACACCCACGACGCGACGGACGCCGGACGCCCGGGACGCCCGGACTGGCGGTCGAAGCGGCGATGGCTGGCGCAGGCCTCGGCCAGAGTCACTGGTGCGACGCTGGATCCGAAGGTCTCCAGGTACCCAGTGCAGGTGAACCCAACCCTATTTAGGAACAAAAAGCTACTAGGGTGGAGGCCATCGCTACTAGTTCTCATTCCCTGTGCTAATGGGTGGACAAGGCCTTTGAACGACCTACACGGATCCCTGGGTCATGGCACCGGACGACCTATACGAGGTGAACCTGGTGTCAACGCTTCGCCACACCGCCTACGTCGAGTCTGAACTGCGCACAGCTAGCTATGGTGCCTCTTTGAGAGCCTTCCTTCGTTCCCCTCCTTGGAACTGGGTGAGCATTCCCCTCTAGTTCGCTACTATGTCCCGCTGAAAACGATCCCATGGAACCTGAAAACCACAGGTGTGTAAAGGAAAGCAGTCTTTCAGGGTGCCATTCCCAGGGTCAATGCTGCTGAGGAGGCCTCCCTTAGGAACAACATCAACAGTGCTGTGTTGAAATGAAATCTTGAGAGAAGTCGTCGACAATCTTGTAGGGCACTCTTGTGGGACACTCTTGTGAAACACTTTTGCAAGACACTCTTGTGAGACACTCTGGTGGGACACTCTTGTAGGGTTTAGGGCACTCTTGTGAGACACCCTTTTGGAAGACACTAACTGACTTAGCTTTCGGGAGTGTGTCCCCTGTCCATAAGGTCATGTCGGCTGTATTGGGCCGTGTCAACACGCCACACCTCCTGCTTGTGGCTCGTCTTCACTAACCCCTCAGCCTTCAACAGCCTTCCCACGATGCAATTCTTCAAACTCGACAAAGATGGAAAGATAGTGGGAAACCTCCAAGCTCCAAAGTCAATACATCCCAACTGCCAGGTCTTGGCTTCCTCATTTCGGCCAGCCATTCGCAATCCGCCACAGCAAGGATCGCATGAGTGCTCCAAAAGACTCTCCTCACCCATCTTCACACTTCCCCCAAAAAAACTCCGTGGTACGAACTGAACTATTCACCGTTCGTAGCCACCATTGCCACAGTCCTGTTCCTCCCCAAAAGGGACCATCATCGGCGGCTCTCCCATCGGGCTTCGTCGCTCCTCGGCTCCCGCACGTCGCTGGTGCAATCGCGGCCGGGCACCTCGGGCGGACGGAGGGACCGGCGTCGGTCGACGCGGTGCGTTGCGAGTCGTTTCACAGAGGGTACCGTGCTGAAGCAGTGCGGCGTTTGGCCTTGGGCTACCGTGCTGAAGCACGAAAGGAAGAGACGGAGAGAGGGTTTTTTGGGGTTGGAACTGGCAGCAAACGGCCAGCTCCCAAAAAAGGAACCTCTAAGAGGACTGGCATGCGAGCTGATAGGATCCACCATTTCTCCTCGATTCCTGTTCTCTCCAACTGGAGCCCGGACGATCAAATTGCCACTGCCCGTGTCAAAGACCACCGTGAAATTCTGGACGGACGGCCCGTGACGGACGGCCGGCGGGGTTTCGGGTGGTCCCGGGTTCCGGGTGTAGGCACCGCGGTGCCTCTCTCTCTACCTTCTCACGAAGGTGTAGGTACGAGTTTCTGTGTAGTGTATCTATAGGCACCGCTGGTCACCCCAGGGTTTCCGTGGGGGGTTCCCGGCCCCGCAATCTTCACTGGACGCCCGAAGAGCTGACACCACCGTCGTACGCAGTGCGTCGTCCCGGCTCCCCTTCGAGTGCAGAAGCGGTGAACGACGATGGGCCGGAAGCGAAAGTCATCAGAAATATGGCACTGATGGAGAACAGGAGTTCCTGGTCGATGCCAGGTAACATATATACCTATTGGTTCTTCATTTGGGGGTGTCCCCTCTATTAATCAACCCACCAATAGTCAAACGCCAAAGGCCATCTATGTTTGCACTGGCTTAGTCCTGGAATGGAGAGGAATTCCTCCTGGTGCATACGTAGAAAAGTGCGAAATACTACTTATGGGTGTCAAGTCATCTACCAGGCTGACAGAGCAATCTTACAGAAGAGTCTCTTAGGTTCTGGAGGGGAAGATACGGTATACGCGTATACGTGTATATATATATACAATTATATACATGTATGCGTCACATATACAAACAATACTTACTAACTCCTACCAAGGTTCTGGGAGTTGATTGACTCTGATGGACACCCCAAAAACTGAAAAAAGGGTCCTGTTCCGGGCTCTGGGGCCAACCACAGCCCGGCAGCCAATTGACCAGGAACCCCCTTCGCCCAAGCAAACCAGAGATCGAAGGTGCCCCTATGTTGTTGCATGTCAAGGACGCCAAGATCCCATCGTCTGAGCGCATGTTTGTCCACCACGAAACGCCACGAAAGAAAGGCCACATCATCCCTAGGGCTCCTGGCCCACCTCCTGAGGTTCGGTGCTTGGGGTGGGTGCCGGGGGGGTCTAACCACCGAACCTGAGGATATGGGACAGGAGCCCTATAGGGCATCCCTAGGGCATAAAGAGAAAGAGTTCATGTTCATGCGCCGCGCGTGGTCCGACCTTCTGCCCTCCCCAACTCCCTTTCGTTCCGCTTCGCCTGCGGTGGGCGGCCCACCTCTCCGGCTCGCTCGCAGAACGGTGTGGACCCGGGTCGGACCCGGTCTCTCTGGGGTACCCAACTGGGACAGTCGGAAAGGAAAGGATCCTGAAAAAACCTCTGTTGGAAGGATTAATGAAGGAACATGGACAATTGATCCCCTTGTAGTGGGGAACATGGACAATTAATGAAACCTTCATCCTCTTAGAATGTTCATCAATTGTCCATGTTCCCCACTAGCAGGAATGAACCAGCCTTCCTTCCACCTCCCTCGCCCCCTTCTGCGACCCGCTGCCGCTCCTTCGACCGCGCGCTCGCCCCCAGGTGGCGCGCTCGCCGGCCGTCGCACGCCGGAAAGGCTCCGAAGACCGCTCCACCTGAATGGTACCGAAGTAAGCCATCTTGTGCTGCGTGGTCGCGTCGGTGCCCTCCTGCCGGGTCGATGGCGAGCACCGTTGCGGAGTGGGGACGAGTAGACCCCCCCATCTCAAGGACATCTTCGGGTGCCAGGTGAAACGATGTGAAACCATTGCAAGTGCGAACTGGGTTTCGTGGGAGGAAAAGCTGTGGGAATCTCGAGGTTTCGGAAAGGCTGCAGCTGGGAGAACTCGCTTCCCAGAACTCTGCACATCAAAAAGGCGGTCACTGGCGGTGAGTTGGACCTGGCCAGGACCACCCAAGAACACAAGTTCACCTCAAGGTGTCAAAGTGCTGTCGTTTTCCTAACGCGGGGTCCACAGAGGAGAGCTGAATTGAAACACGGGTGTTTGCGGGAAGAATATGGAAGAAGCGCTTCCACATGACAGGGGCTTCCGATGGATGAACCACCCGGTTGCAATCGTGAGGCCTGTTCCAGGCGGCCTGGGGAGTCTAGACCCATGGCTTCTTTGAGAAAGCTGCTATGACTCTATCATGTTCACCCCAAAATCTCTCCATCTCCCCACTACATCCAAGAAGACCACTCCAACCACCTCCGACCACCCACCCGCCTCTGCCTGCCTATGCTGCATCACGCGCTTCTCCAGCGCCAGGGACACGGAGCTCTGGGCCGAGGGGCGACCGAGGTCTCGGTGACACCGAAGCGAAGCGGCGACCACGCATGGCATGCGGTGTGCACCCCCTGCCCCCCCGCCTGCGTGGCGGTCGCGCCCGCATAAAGCAAAATGAGATTCGCTAAGCGAAACATTCTCCTTGGACGGTCAGGCATGAGGATTCGCAAACCACACTTCCTCTTCCTAGGCCATCGCTCTCAGGTTGGAGGCCATCACTAGTAGGTAGGAGGCCATCGCTTGAAGGTTGAGAGAGGGTACATATCTTCGCGTTCGCACTTCGGATGCGTCTCACCAAGCGATGAAACCGTCTCACGAAGCGGTGCGTCATTAGTGCGAACGCCAATCTGAAGTGTTCAACTCATGTCTAGGCTCCAAACGCTATCGAAATGAATGAAATACGGTGGAGGTTGATGGCTACAACCTCCACCCAGCTTGAACCAATGGCGTAAAGAAAGTGCCGATCCGGTGTCGCAACGAGACGGCAAGCGAAAAGAAGCATCTCAAGGAGGCCGACATGTCGTGGAAGGGGACTGAAAGTGGCGCTGTCCATTGCAAAAACAAACAAAAAAAGAACTCCCTTCATGACCCTTCACACCGCGAGAGTTGGCTCGCCAATCGCTGCACTGCTGCATCCCCAATCCCCCCGATTCGTCGGGGCCGGCAAGAGTATATCTCCTCCCCGGAAAAATGATGGTTACGGGGAGTTCACCTCCAGTGTGCAAGGGGTCATTGTTCACTTCCATGATTCCAGATGGAACATCTACGGAACCAGATGGACCCACACATGGCTCGGAACCGCCCTCTTGGCAGACCGGACCCAAACATGGCTGGGCACGCGGTCGACCAGTTCCAGAAAAGAGATGCATGGCAACCGTTTGCAAAGTTTTTCATCACAGCCTCTTCCAAAAAAGACAAACAATTACAGTAAACTAAAAAAGACGTTCGCCCGGGCCTAGCCTGCCAGAACTGGTGTTCGGCCCGGGTCCGATTTTCGTGGCGAACGAGCTCACATGGGAGGCCATGAGACATGTTCACGCGCATCCTCCGAAGAGACATGGACGGTGCTGCCGCGCATGGCCACCCCCAGACAGCCTGGTGCACCGATGGAGGTCTACCGATGCCGTGGGCCACGGATCGCTCGTTCGTCCGCACCGGCAGACCCTGGCAAAACAGCTCAACCGTCTGGTCACAAAACCACCTGTTCGGCCCCCCCACCACGGTGGAAGCGACGTCGAGAAGACCAGACGTCTTCTCCTTCACGACCCGGTCCGGTGGTCGGTCTGAGCCCGGCCGTCGACGTGGTGAACCAGTGGGACCAGCATGTCTTTTCATCGAATCCGCCAAAGACGAGAAGTCGAACGGACTCCCACAAGGCTTCATGGACATCCTCGATATCTGCAAAAAGCTGAGGAGCTACCAATAGAAACCCCAACCAGGGGGTCCTGGTGTGGATTTAGATGGATCGGTGTTATTTTTTCATGGGGAGGACCCCCTGCCGCCAAGGCGTAGACTGGCAGACTGGGCTATTGGACAAACCTTCCAGAGCTCCCCATTGGAATGCATCCATATGTTGGGTCTATCCTAGTACCAGGGCCCAGTGGATGATGGTGAGGCAGAAAGGCCTTGTTCAAAAAGTCGTGATTTGCAGGCCTTGCCGACTCTTTACAGGTCAGTTCGCACACACCCAACGGGCTTGTGTCTGTGTGATATGTATGGTTCCTCGCTCCCGGAGACGCGGTTCGCAGCGTTGGCATCGCCTCTTTTCAACCCGAATCGCCGATTGCGCCGGTTCCTTCGCGCCGGGTGCGCGATCGGCACCTGCGGTGTCCCAGGGGGTTCCACCAGTGGGTTCGGCTTTGGGGGGGCTCTTTCCAGATGAGCGGCTTAGGGTCCTAAGTCCTCTGAGCGCGCTCCACTCGGACGCTTCGGACGGTCCCTGCACTCCACTCGGAACCCGTGGCCCAGACGAGGGTGAGAGCTCCTCTGGTGGGTCGCTGGTTCTTCAGACTCTTCGGTGTGACGCGGGAGAGATGTTGCATTTGGATTCAGGAAATCAAGGGACGTGAAGACCAGACACCCTTTTTTTTGACCTGAATGACAATAGCTCGACATCGCCCAAAAAACCCTCGACAGACCCCTGGAACGAACAAGTCATCTTCGATCAGATCTGCCCTGGGAGAGCTTTGGATCCAAACCCTAATCTGCGAGGCCAGCCAGGCACCTACCAGCCAGGCCGGCCGGACCTGCCCTCCCTCTACATCAAATCATAAGACTGACATCTCTTAAACTTCCACAATGACTGGGGCAAAGACCTGCAGACCCCGGGCCTGATCTGCTTTGCCTGGAGAGCGATGCAAGGATGCGGAGATGGTGTACTTAGTTCATCAATAGAATAGGAACCCATCCCAATACATTACCATCTTGGATTGGAAGAAAAAAAGAACTAACCAATCCATAAAACCGTAGTCCTACGGGTTTTTTTCTCCCCCTCTCTTCCCCCTCTTCTATCTCGCCCATGACTCGATGAAACCCCCGGGCACGAGAACCAGTCCCACAAAGCTCCCCCGTGTCTCGACCGGAACCGGAGGCGTTCCTGGACGGAAGGGCTTCAAGCTGAGCCGGAGCCGGAGCCCAAGGGAGCTCGGTTTCTTGGACATGGACGAAGACAGAGACGTTTTCATATAGTCACATAGTCTATACTATGGTCCCCAAATAGATAGTGGGACGGTGACACCAAGACATTTTGCTGGGGATCTACTGTTCTTTCTACTTATGTAGAGGTCGTTTGTATATGGAGGTAAATATCCAAATCTCCATAATACCAATACTCTGCATGAATCTGGGCAGCTACTACACGTGCAGTTTTCATCACGTGGCAAGCCCCTTTTCTCGTGCACCCGGCTTTGGTTGCTCCTTTCAGCTAGTCATGTCACATACCTACAGCCCGAACTGCTCGATGGCATCCTTGCCAGTGTACAGCTCTGCGGAAATGATACCCAGCGCTGCAAACATGGCGAAGCGGCCGTTGTTGATCTCTCGCTCCTTAGTTGGTTGATAAATGTGTCTGGGGTCAAGAAAACACACATGAACAGTTCTTGGCAAGTGAATCTTTACAATCAAAGCGCAAATTTTTCCTGAGCATGCAGCATGCAGTTTAAGTTGCAAGAAAAGTTTGACTTGCAGAAATTCGAACAGAGAGGACAAAAAAATGGTTTGTCAAACAACGTATACCCAGAAGTGCAACTCGGTCTCCCTCATTTCTTGAGTGTACTGGTTGAATCCCACTGGGTCACCGAAGTTTCCAGGCTCCTTGTCGTCGCTCTCGGTCCAAAGGCCAAGCTCCAGCGCGCCAGACACCGCAAACAAAGCAATGAAGCCATAGCTCCCGGGTGGTGTGACAGCAGCGGCCAAGCCACTGGGCACGGACTCAAAGCCTGGGAACTTCACGTAGTGTTGCACCACTGCCCCAAGTGCAGCCATCATGGCAGCACGCCCATGCTTGATCTCGGCTGCCCGCAGGTTTCGGAAGCCAGCTTCGTCGCCCTTTTTGCAGAAACCGGCGGGGTCAAAGAAACCCAGTGGGGCCATAGCGCCAATCTGGGTGGATGGGTCGAATTCAGGACTTCCCTTGCCTGAAACACCTTTCTCCTTCAAAGATCCCACACCAGCCGAACCTGCCACTGCCGATCCTGTGGCCGTCGCTCCCTTGGCAGCAGCTGCTGCCTTGGCAGCAGCTGCTGCAGCAGCTGCCGCACTTGCGGGCTCCGCGCGCAAAGGGGAGGCGGTGTAGTTGGCCCAGTCACCCCAAGCGCTGCCAGTGAGTCCATCCTGACAAATGGACATTCTTTATTTGCATGTGATGTTCCAGGCGTGTGTGTGTGTAATGCGAACCTTTTCTCGATTCAACAAAGGCTTTAGTGCAATGTCGTGATGCAAACTGTCATGCGAAAAATGTTTCCCACTCCTTCTTGGTAGCGTGAGCGACTGAATTGCTACTTTGAGTTCACTCTGCCACTGTAGTCCATGTTCTTCCATGCAAGGCTTTTGCATGTCTCGCGGGAACGGGGTTCCCAGAGATGGGCGCTATCTATGTTTGTGGGTTCCAACAACTCTTGGTACTTCTCCATTTCTTTCTCAGCCAAATCTGCTGCCTCCTGCAGTCCTCTACTCATGAGATTCCCATGTCTTTCATGGAGTTGCTCAAGTTTTGCTTCAAATCGACCACACATTTGGCTTGATTGCTCTGTTGTACACTTGTAATTGAGTTCCTTGGCGGGGTACTAAGTGAAAAAGTCAAACCATGCTTTTGCTCCAATTTTGTCCAGGTAAGTTCCTCTTCGCCAAGAATTCTTCTCCTCTCAATTTTCACGTTCCATGGCTTCGCCTGTGAAACTTGCAAAACTGCATCCTTCACATCAAGACATCCTAGCATCTGGGAAAATGTTCCTTCTCCCTCTCTTGCTTCTTCCTCCTCACTGCAAGAATATCGTGGGTAGAAGCTTCAGTACATGTCCTGAAGTCGCTGGTTGGAAAACGTCATCTCTCCTTCCTTCAGCGAAAGCATATTCTCTTGCAACTAGCCTTGATCTTCTCTTCCATCTCTTGCTTGTCGTTCCAGCTTTATGATGGTAAGGCTTCTTTCTCCAGTCATGTACATTGCATGTTGTCAGGTAACTGAATCCTTTGGCGCTACCCTCCTGCATCTTCTGGGGTCTTTTCTCCTCCACTTCATCAGCTGCTCCTACTCTGTCTATCCATTCTTCTGGTTCTCCTTCTGCTTCATATTCTCCATCGCACCGCAAGCATTCAGAGCCATTCACTTCATCTTCTTCTGACTCATCTCCTTCTCCTGCCCAGTCTTCTTCATCAACTTCTTCTGCAGCTGGGGATAGTTCATCCACATGATAAAGATCTTCACCCGCAACTTTCACCAAATTGATCTTGGCTTTCTTACTTGAACCCTCTCGTGGCCTGAGTTTCTTCACAGGACTTTCTTGTTCAAGCAAGTCATACGCTTCCCTTGGTCTCGATGGCGGGACAACTCAAATCCAACTTGAATTTGACAATTGGCGACAATGTTCAACGCTCAACCTTGAGGGAACAAGTGCTGCAATTGGATCGTTCTCACCAAAATGGGCTACTTCCATGGTGGCTAGTAGCAGTACAGACTATCAAGGACCTATGCCAATGGACATTGATCGAGTCCAAGATGCCAAAGTAAAAGGTAGGACGGGCAAGAATGACCATCAGAAAGGCAAAGGTGAAGAGGCAAAGGGTAAAGGAAAGAAAGGGAATGGAGATCAGAAAGGAAAGGAAGGTGATCGCAAGGGTAAAGGTAAAGGCGAAGACCAGAAAGCAAAGGTGTGGCGATGCGTTACACGGGAAGCCAGCACATCTCGCTAAAGACTGTTGGAGGAAAAATATTTGACAGGTAGCAAGCGATCCAGCCCATTCATCTTCGGGAAGGGCATCAGTGACTACCCATACAGTTGGTGAACAACATGCCAATGTCAGCCGACAGGGTAGCTCAGCAGAGACCAAACCAGTGGTCAGAAGGATTCGAATAGTGGGCCAGTCATGGTTGACTTGCGAGAAAGGCAAGATGAGCTGGAAGATCATGGAATTCGAGTAATTCGCTTCTACATTGGAGATGACGATGATGATGATGATGATGATGAGCCAGGGATCCAGGGAATTGAAGAAATTGACATTTCAGATGATGACCCCATGGTGAGGAGACTTAGGGAAGAGAATGAGGATGTGGCCATCACTATTGACAGTGGAGCTGATGTAGCGTTATTCCCTTGGAGTATGGCAGATCATGGGGAAGGAGTGGGAATTTAGCGCAAAAACCAAGCCCAAGCTACAAGATGCACAGGGGAATCGTATCCCCACCGGGGCGCGAAAAGTGATGAAATTTCCTCGCAATGTGATCTTCAGCTCGGAGGTTAGTCAGCCCATACTTTGCTATGGAAGATTGATGGAACATGGTTGGGGAATCAACAACAGAGAGCAAATGCTGGAGAATGACGACTTGAATGCACCACTCTTGCAAAGTCGCTCTTTGACAGTTCAAGGCCACATCAGAATCATTAGAGATGAAGATGAAAGCTGCTTGATGCAATGCACTTCCCCGCATCAATGAAGCTAACAATCCATAAAGCTTGATGCACCTGCTCTTTTCCTCTAAAGTCTAAGTCCCATTCAAGCTACCACTTGCTTTTCATGAACTCTTGATTTCTTCTTCTTGTGACTTATAGTCAAAGATGTCGGGCTTTGCTATGAACTTCGACCAATCAGTTGCTGACGACTTCTTGTCTTCAACTGCTTTCTTCACTGCCTCAGCTGCTGATGCTGTTGCCAGCGTACTCTGTGCTATAGTTTGTTGGGCTTCTCTGATCTCCTCATCTCCACTGCGCACTAATGTCCTTCTGACACAGCGTACGGGGTACAGAGTGTCGCTCACAACAATTCTTCGCCAGTCCAGCTGCTTGGTTTCCAAAGGCCCCAAATAGCACCCGGGATCCCAGTGACCTAGGTGCTTTTTTCTCTGGAGCTCAAAGGGGGTTGCCCTTATCCTTGCTCCGCTACCATACGAACCTTTTCTCGATCCGAAAAGGGCTTCAGTGCAATCTCATGATGCAAACTGTTATGCTAATAATGCTATGTACTGTGACTGATCTCTATTGAAAATGCTTCACACATACGTGTATTATATATATTTGCATAGCGCTAGTTGTCCATGATATGTATGTGTGTGTATTGCATCGGAACATTGGACCATTTGACTCATTGCCAGCCGTATCGATTTTGAGGTCTATGTTTATGTACATGAACTTGCCATACATTAATTTGCTTTTTCAAGCAATATTGAAACCACACCTGTTGAATTCCGCAGAGTTAATAGTTAGGCAGCATGGGTACAGTACCATCTTCGGAATCTCCGCTGGCGGAAAGTCGGAAAAGCGTCCGAAAGAACAACATCCACCTGCAGTGAGCATATCAGAGACGAGACCAACGTGGATGTGGATTGGCGAGGGGTCATGAAGGAAGGGAGAAGTTGATGGACTTGGCAAGCTGGGGCGCCAAGAAGGAGTCATGGGGCTTGATTTTGTAGATGAGGAGGAGGAGGATGGATAAAGGTAAGGGAGAGAGAGAGAGAGAGGGAAAGCTCAGGACAAGGATAGATCACCCGGCAGACATGACCGATGCAAGCAAGCACAGAAATGATTCTTTGCAGCAAGGAGATCTTCTTGGCAACTCAAGAGTCTGTTTCGTGAATGGACTGGTCATGGTACAAGAGGGCTCATTTGTAAGCCATACTCATCTTGTGTACTACTGCAAAGGAAAAAATAGAAAACCACGTGCTGTGCGCATTCCATCTCATCCTTTGTCAGCCATACGTACCAATTAAAATGTTCAATCAAACCTGTGATCAAATCATATAACATCTCTTTGGTGCATGCAACAAAGAGTTTGGCAGCATTAAAAGCGCCTGAAAGAACA